TAAAAGAGCTTCTTCCTATTTACTTGATTTGAATTCATTTCTCAAATGTAACGGAAACATTTTGCGAATTTTTTAGATTCAAGCAGCATTCCGAACAGATGAAATCAAAAGAACACCACCTACTCCTCAAGATGAGATGAGAGCAGGAATGAGTTATTTCCATGAAACTATCTGGAAAGGTGTTCCTAAGTTTCTGCGCCGTGTAGACACAGCTTTGAAAAACATAGGGATCGAAGAACGTGTTCCATATAATGCTCCATTGATTCAATTCTCTTCGTGGATGGGTGGTGATCGTGACGGTACATTTCTATAAGTCCTTCTCGCATACCTCTCTTATTTCCCCCCCTCTCTAAATGGCTCACAATGTATATGTGTTTGCAGGTAACCCCAGGGTTACACCTGAAGTCACTAGAGATGTTTGCTTGTTAGCTAGAATGATGGCTGCTACTATGTACTTTAACCAAATCGAAGATCTTATGTTTGAGGTTTGATCCGGAGATTTTTTTTCAGCTTTGTCTCCTCATCTTCTTTGTGTATATGTCATTGTATCCCCATTTCATTTTTACTGCTTCTTTTGTAGATGTCTATGTGGCGTTGCAATGACGAGCTGCGTGTGCGAGCTGATGAAGTTCACGCAAATTCGAGGAAAGATGCTGCAAAACATTACATAGGTAAGAAAGGGAACCGGTTTTATGCCTAAGCTGTGTGTCCAGAACCAATTTAATTTGGAACCTTTCATTCATTGTCTTGATTGCAGAATTCTGGAAGTCAATTCCTACAACTGAGCCATACCGTGTGATTCTTGGCGATGTAAGGGACAAGCTTTATCACACACGTGAACGCGCGCATCAATTGCTCAGCAATGGCCACTCTGATGTCCCCGAAGAGGCTACTTTCGTTAATTTGGAACAGGTATCTTTGCAATTAGAATCCTTTGACTCTCTGTTATGATTTGGTACTAAACCGCTCTCTCGTGCTATTTATGTAGTTCTTGGAACCTCTTGAGCTCTGTTATCGATCTCTGTGTTCATGTGGTGACCGTCCAATAGCAGATGGAAGCCTTCTTGATTTCTTGAGGCAAGTCTCAACCTTTGGGCTCTCTCTTGTGAGACTTGACATAAGGCAAGAATCTGACCGCCACACCGATGTATTGGATGCCATCACCACACATTTAGATATCGGATCCTACAGAGACTGGTCTGAAGAACGCCGCCAAGAATGGCTTTTATCTGAGCTAAGTGGCAAACGTCCGCTTTTCGGTTCTGATCTTCCTAAAACTGAAGAAATCGCTGATGTTCTCGACACGTTTCATGTCATATCCGAGCTACCAGCAGACAGCTTCGGTGCTTACATTATCTCTATGGCAACTGCACCTTCTGATGTATTAGCTGTTGAGCTTTTACAGCGTGAATGCCGTGTTAAACAGCCTTTGAGAGTTGTTCCGCTCTTTGAGAAGCTAGCGGATCTTGAAGCAGCTCCTGCAGCAGTTGCTAGGCTCTTTTCTGTTGACTGGTATAAGAACCGGATAAACGGTAAGCAAGAGGTTATGATTGGTTATTCGGATTCAGGGAAAGACGCTGGACGTTTGTCCGCTGCTTGGCAGTTATACAAAGCTCAAGAAGAGCTTGTGAAGGTTGCTAAAGAGTATGGTGTGAAGCTAACAATGTTTCATGGTCGTGGTGGCACGGTTGGAAGAGGAGGCGGACCAACCCATCTTGCTATTTTGTCTCAGCCTCCGGATACTATTAACGGTTCATTCCGTGTCACGGTTCAAGGTGAAGTCATCGAGCAATCGTTTGGTGAAGAGCATTTATGCTTTAGAACGCTTCAGCGTTTCACCGCTGCTACACTCGAGCACGGTATGTGTCCTCCAATTTCGCCTAAACTGGAATGGCGCGCTTTGCTCGATGAGATGGCAGTTGTTGCGACCGAGGAGTATCGTTCTGTTGTGTTTCAAGAACCTCGGTTTGTCGAGTACTTCCGCCTCGTAAGTATTTAATTCACTCAGAATCTTTTAACTTTCTTACCCCACAGAGTCCCAAAACTCACGGAATCTTAAAATCGGTTGCAGGCTACACCAGAACTGGAGTATGGTCGTATGAACATCGGAAGCAGACCTGCTAAGCGGAAACCAAGCGGTGGGATTGAATCCCTTCGTGCGATTCCGTGGATCTTTGCTTGGACTCAGACAAGATTCCATCTTCCTGTATGGCTTGGATTCGGATCAGCGATTAGGCACGTGATCGAAAAGGATGTCAAGAACCTCCATATGCTCCAGGATATGTACAAACACTGGCCTTTCTTTAGAGTCACGATTGATCTAATTGAAATGGTGTTCGCTAAAGGAGATCCAGGTATTGCTGCTTTGTACGATAAGCTTCTTGTTTCGGAAGAACTATGGCCTTTTGGTGAGAAACTCAGGGCTAATTTCGAAGAAACCAAGAAACTCGTCCTGCAGGTAAAAAAGTCATGAATTTTCTTTCTTCTTTACTTAATTTTACAAATTGTCTGAGTCGCTATTGCTGTCTGCAGACTGCTGGACACAAAGATCTTCTGGAAGGAGATCCTTACTTGAAACAGAGACTGAGACTTCGTAATTCTTACATAACGACCCTCAATGTATGCCAAGCTTACACATTGAAGAGAATCCGTGATCCGAGTTACCATGTGACACTGCGACCTCACATATCCAAGGAGATTGCGGAATCGAGCAAACCAGCACAAGAACTCATAGAGCTAAACCCGACGAGCGAGTACGCGCCTGGACTTGAAGATACACTCATCTTGACCATGAAGGGTATTGCTGCTGGTCTTCAGAACACTGGTTAGAGTTCCCATGTTCAAAGAGATGCTGAAACCAACTTCGAATTCCTCAGCCGCCTCCTCTTTCTCGCCAGTCAAGTCTCTCTCCTTTTTTTATAACCTACGGATTTGAAAAATAATAAATTCAGACGGTTGGGAATCTGGTTTATTTTATGTATCCATCCACCGTCAAAAATGTTGTTGAGTTTCGTGTAAGAATCCATGGAGATCATGAACACATGCTCTGTTTTTTTTTTAATTTATCAAGTTTAAATAAAACAGAACAGGAGAATCTCTTCTTGTTTGTTTGTCTCTTTACTTAATCACCTTCCCCTATATACATATGGATTCTTTAATTGGTTAAAATTAAAGATGATCATCAAATCTAGTAGACTGAGCCCAAAATAAAAACCTCGGTTAGGGTCTGGCCTTATCCGGTTAAAGTTCTTGATAAAACAAATGCTACTTCAGTTTGGCCTTATCTCCGGTTACAGTTTTTGTTTCCACGTCCCTATGATAATCATATCTGTGTGTGCACTACAACAACACACACATGTTGTCTTTCCTCAGCATGGTAATGGTATATGGTGGTCCCGAAAAAACGGCAGACATGTTTTGCGAAAAGAGGACGTTGAAGAAGGAAAAAATGGTGAGCAGAAAAACGACACGGTGTGTAAGTCTTTTAGATAGAAACGGCTTGCATTTTGAGTTACTCTTCCCCGTAACGCCCCAACGGCTCTCTCTCAATGAGAATTTATAGCGTACATGTACGGTGTACCGGTTTTTTTCACCAACGTACTTTATTATCTTTTTTTATAATAAAGTACGTTTTTTTTTTTCTCTTTCAGTTTTAATTTCACTCTCTCTCTCTCTCTCAGGGGTCAAAAATAGGTCAGAGTAATAAGTCGGTGAACGTTCATCACGCGCCTTCCCAGAAAAAAAATCATTTTATTATTATTATCACTCAAACTCAAAGTCTCAAATAGCTAAAAGCCGAAGACTAGCCCTGGGCGTTCGGATTTTCGGATCGGATCGGTTCGGATTTTTTCGGATTCGGATCGGTTTTCAAATTTTATTACAAATCCGAGTTTAAACCGAATCATATTTCGGATCGGTTTCGGATTCGGATTCTACACTATAAATTCGAAACTTACACTCTAAATCCGAACAATCCGACGTAAAAAAGAGGTTTGAGCGTTGAAGTACAAAAACATAGAGATTATATGTATACTATGTGATGTATTAGACCATGTGTATTCGGGTTAGCAGATAACCGATCGGATTTCGGTTCGGATCGGTTTAAATCCGAAATCCGAATCATGTTCAACATAAAATCCGATCGGTTTTTACATAGTAACCGAAACCGATTCAAATCGGATTTTTCGGATCGGTTCGGATCGGTTTTTTCGGATCCGGATTATATGCCCAGGGCTACCGAAGACGACCAAACATGTATTATCCACAAAATATAATAAAAAAAGAAAAAGAGAGAGGTAAACTGAAAAAAAAGGTGTCAAACAACCAGAAATTAAAGGGCACCGACTTCAGCAGGCGCAGAATAGCACCGGCTAACGAACTATTCAAGAAGAGTTCATTACTTTTTAATTACTTTATTTTAATCTTTATTTTTTTATTTTTTTTGGGCGTTTTGTTATTATTATTTTCCTTTTAAAAAGCGTTTTATTATTTAAAAATTTATTAAACAATAGGAAAGAAGTTATATAATGGCATGCGAACGAATACTATTTGGTTCCTTTTTCTATTTTTTAATCAATTAACAAATAAGTAGAAAGCATTAACAAACCATCGCTTTCATTACACAAAATCATATCAAAAATCTGTAATTAAATCCGAATCCCCATTTTTTGTTTATGTCAACGACTATAGTATTTAAATCCAATTTTTAAATCAATCACCTAAACCCTTTTTCTAAACACTCTTCAATATAAAGAAAATAAAAACAGGTAAATATTTCAGTAAACTCATCTCTTTTCACAGCACTTTTTTAGATGAAATTATGTATGATTTTGGTATTGAAGTGTATTCAAATAAACTTAGTTGAATCTATGAAAATATATAACTTTTTATTGATGAAAATGTTGAGAAAAATAAAAAGGAGGAGAATTAAAAATGACAAAGATGGTTCACTTTCTTCTTGATTTCACTAATTTATCCCTAAAAGTTAAAAAAAAAAAAAAAATTAAAATGAAGAATCCAAATCTTCCTGTCTTTATTGCCCCTTAGGTAAGCACCCTTCTTTCTTCACTCACATCCCAACTTCTCTCTTATGTACACACTCCAACAAGTAAACATCTCTCAATAATACCTAAACAATTGAAGCTAAACAGAAGAAGAAGGAGCCAATGCAATCTCAGTCTAAATGAATGAAGGGAAGAAAACTAAACATAACATACAGAGACAGAGATCACAGGGCAATGAAGAGGAGAATGAATGAACAAATCTTTAAGACCTGAAACTCTACACTAATATAGGTTCCCTGATAATTAAGCTTCCTTCTGAAGTTAAGTGGGATTATTGAGACTTTTCTTTAAATGGGTAATGAGGAAGCTGCAGAAGACTGAAGATGAAGCTGTCAGGTTTTACTTTTTAACTGCTATAGTGTCTCACTGAGTACTCCAACACTTCTCTGCTTGGACAAACTATCTCCTTAACTCGACTACCGTTCTTGTATATCTTCACTGTCGGTACAACCCTCACATTCTCTGCATTACCTATCGAAGGACATTTCTCGATATCCACCTAACCAGAAAGGTAGAAGATTCTATAGTCAATCTTTTCTCCTGGAGCTATGAAACATTTTCAGTCAATTAATACCACAAGATAGGTTTTCATGTAACTTTACCTTCATGAAGTGTATAGATGGGTAACGTGTACAAAGCGACTCCACAAATGGAGATATCTGCTTGCATTGATGATCAGAGGCTGTCAAGAAATGTATAACCGAAACTCCTGGGTTTGATTTAAGTATACATCACATATCAAAATTTCATAGGTTAGATCAGCCATCCAATCGAGAAAAAATTATCAAATTAAGAAGCAGAGAAATTATCTTTTACCTGGTAGATTCATGGCAGCTTTGTACTGTTCACGACTAAAAATTTCCTCAACTTCACCACCAAATTCCATATTTAAAACTTCTTCTCCACGAGATTTCTTCAATGCCACTTGAGCATGAAATAAAGATTCCGCAACTTCCTTGTCATGAGGTAGTTCTCTTATCAAGGCTTCGTAATCACTCACTGCTGCTCCCCATCTTTCCATCTAGAGTTGGACAGAAAGCTCGGGGATCAATGTAGAACAAATTACAAGCCAAACAAAGTAAAAAAAAATGGTTTTATATGTACCTTGCTATTAGAGGCAGCCCTACGGAGAAGAGGCTTTGTATATCTTGGTTGATAACGCAGTGCTTGGTTACAATCTTCAATTGAGCGTTCCCACATACCAAGTTTAAAGGAACAAGCTGCCCGGTTACAATATAGAATAGCATTGCAGGGATCAAGCCTAAGGCCTTCTGCATAAGCTGAGCTTGCTTCCGTGTATCTTTCTGATTTATAGAGATCGTTACCACGAGCACGAGCCCTGGCAACCAATGTAACAGTATTGTGTAACATAGCAACTTCGTTGCATTGTGGATCGATTTGGCTAGCTTTCTCAGCAGCCATAGCTGCATTTTCAAACCTGCAAGAATTCATGACTTGCTCTTTAACCTCTTTTTTCTTCATGGCATTCAACAGTTTCATTTAACGCATATGAAAATGTTTCTATAGTCTCACCTTCCTAAAGCCATCTCGATTTGAGCTTTGACAAAATAAGTATAAGCTTCACAAGCCATACCAGAAAACCGCGTCTGCGAACAAGATACTGGGAATGGCTCTAGTTTAGGAGCTTCTAATAGCTTTGACTGAGCATCATCAAGCCGGTGAAGTTTCAAGAATGCTTCTACTTTACACATAAATAGCTGTAGATATAAGAAGATACAACAGTTAAAACGATATAACGTTATGATTCTTCCCAAAATTAGAATTCTTACTTGAGGAGAAAAATCGGCTCCAGAAACAATGGCAGCATCTACTTCCATCAAAACTTTTTTCCAGTCACCACGTCTTCGCGCATCTACGCATTTGGTCAAATGTTTCTCCACTGCTTCAAGCTTCTGCAACTCTATGGGATCTGATGGTCTCCCTAGAAAACAAAGATGCTTCCTTGCACTATTAACCTGACCTAATCTGCAACGCAACCAAGTAATTAAGACACACATATTGAAGTTCTCACAAACATATCACCAAAAACACTAAAAACAAGCACCACAGATAAAGATTCCGTATTTTGATGATACAGTGAGTAAAGAACCACTTGGTGAGCTATGAGACACGAGAAGCAATTTACCTAATAAGCAACAAGGCCAAACGATGATGAGCTCTAGCATAGTTAGGATCCGATCTCACAGCATCTTCACATTCCTTAACAGCTTCGCCAATTCGAGACAACCCCGTCAACGCCGCAGCTCGATTACTCCGGTAAGCTGCGTTAGTCGGTGATAAAGCTATTGCCCTATCATACAACTTCAAGGCCTCATTAAACAAACCTTTCCTATACATTTCATTCCCTACTCTCTTCACTTCCTCTGAATCCGAACCTAAAATTGCTTTCTTCCATAAACTCTCCGCTGCAACAGGACTACTTCTGTTAGAGCTACCGACAATAACCGGCGAAGTTGTAGGAGATCCTCCGCCAATAGAGGCAGGTTTCGCCGGAGATATACTGCTTCCTCCGCCTCGCATTATGCTTCCATGTCCATAAGTTCCAGTACCAGATCCAAGAACATCGCTTCTCGAACGGCTTTGGGTCATTCCAGTGATTTGGATCTTCCCGGAAGGGCAAATGTTTCCGGTGGGAAGTACATTCGCCGCCGGGGAAGTAGTAGCAGGAGAAGTAGCAGAGGAAACGAGTGGCTGAGAATGCGAAGAAGAAGAAGTAGCTGAGTCGGATCTAGACTGAGTCGGTCTTAGAGTATTCCCACTGGACGAACCAGATTGACTACGAACCGAATTAGATCTCCCGATAAGAACCGGACCATTCCTAACCCGACCCGTAACAGATCCGGAGGAGCTAGAACTGCTACTACTAGTAGTGGTAGTGGTGAGTCCACGTGGCTGAGAACGAAGCGGAGAAACCGGTGAACCGAGATCTAATTCACGGAAGTCAGGTTTGTTGATCTCGGAGGATAGTGATGAATCACGGAGACGATCGGCGAGCTTCTCAGATTCAGGAATGGGTTTAACTGACTTGGGCATTTTTAGCTTCTCCAAAGGAACCAAATTTGTGAGAATTCAAGAAAACCCTAATCGGGTTTAGGGTTGGACTCCGGTGGGCAATGGTCGTTAATGGAGAAGAAGACGGTGGGGGAGAAGAGTAGTGGAGAAGAGAGGATTCGAGACTCTGCGAAAAGGCATCGAAGGGGAAAGAGAGAGAGGAGGGAGGAGGGGATCTCGTGAAATAAAAAAAGGGTGAAGCAAAGAACGAATGTGAGTGCCCTTTAGAGAGAGAAAGTTGCTCTGAGAGAAGAGAGAGAGAGAAGAGAGAGAGAGAAGAGAGAGAGAGAAGAGAGAGAGAGAAGGTTCACAGAAGAAGAGGAGTGAAGATGGAGAAGCAGAGCGAAATATTAAACCAAATTTATTAATTCTGAAAAAGATACACTTAACAAAAACAAAAGGTTATTATTAATTCATTTTTGTTTGACAAAGAAATAAAAAAAAAGTTTACATAATAATAACAAAGAACAAAATGGAAAGCTAAGTTAATGTAATAAATTGATTCAAAGGTGAAACTAAAAACCAAAATTCTACAAATAAAAAAGTTCCAAATGAATAACCAGAAATTACAGATAGTTTATTAAGTTTTTATTAAACATTTGTACAATTTGTTTTTGTTCTAAATTATATGTCGTTTACAAATTTATTTTTATATATTAGAAAAAATTCGCTCATTATATTCAATAATAATATATTTTGTGGATTTTTTAATGGTTGATACATGTAATAGAGATAAAGGAAATTTGTTAATTTGAAATCTATAAATAAAAAATAAAGAGAGAAAATTAAAATTTGGAAATAAAAATATAATAAATGTTGTGCAAATAATAACAGTTCTTGTTCAACTGCTGCTTCACGAGACATGTTTTCATTCTTGCTTTTGTTTTGTTTAATCTTACCCTTTTTTTTAATCGTTGAATATCAAACAATAGAAAAATTAAGAAAAGAAATAAGGAACTGTGATATATTGTAAATAATAATAATTATTATACATTTTCATACTTAGAAAAATCTGCTTACTTCTCTTTCGGTACTGTTCGATTTATCTTTGTACTTTGGTTTGGAGCTTACAACAATACATGCCAAAGAGGCCACTCGCGGATCTATGGGAACTGACGTCTACGATCCAATCACATCTTTACAAATTGTGTTGTGTCAAACAAAATATATATATATGTATATTTAATACCTACATGCTATAATTAAAAAGTGAATAAGTCGAATAAAACTTTTAATATAATTTTTGTGTGTTTTTATCATAAACATTTCTTTTTATTTCTTATTAAGTGAGAATAAATGCATATTATTACTCGTACTATTATATATACTACTTTGGTTTAACGAACTCATTTTCTTTAATTATTAATCAAATGAATCAATTCATAATTCATTCATTGTATTGATACCAAAGAAAAAAAACCAATTCATTGTATCAACATCTAACTATAGTAGGTAAATTAAAATAGCCCGATTAGTTAAAACTAGTAAATAACAAACTGCAAAAGAAATAAGAAATCTTTAAATTCTCACATTAGTAACACGAGATACATCAAATAAGAGTTTTATTAACGTTTCAAAGTCAAAATATATTCTATACGTATCTAACTCGATAACAAAAGTCAGCCAGCCACTGAGAATCACATTCAATAATTTGATGTAATAATGTTTTCTATTTTATGTGTAGAGAAGCTATAAGATAGATTTGGGTAGTATATGATAGGGAAACCAAATAATAATAACAACAAATGTAATAAGTGACCTCGTAGTTTGCACTTATCTTTATCTATTGGCTTCTTTCTCACTATATTTTCTTCTTCTGGTATCTCTATTTGCTTCTTACATTATTACATGTGTGTGTTACATCCGAGTGAACTAGTGAAGCATGCAATTGGCTATAACATAAAACTTCCTAAACGAACAAAAAAAGAGTAACTATATATGAGAGAGCTTTCCAATACGCATAATGATAAATAAGAATCGAAACTCTTTATGAAACAATAATAATAATAGTATCACTTGACGACAAAGATTTATGCATCTCTTTGGGGCATTTACTTAAAGAGCCTTTGTAACAACTCAACAGCTAGATAAACAGGTTTCGATATATTATATGAGATTCCAATCGTAAAACCCGGTCATATTATCTAATTCAAAGATCCGGCTATTAAAGTAGCTAGAGATGTACGTGTCTCTGTGTCTCTGTGAGTGTGTGAGTTTGTTATTTAACAAGAAAGCAAAACGTTTGAGTCGTTTATACGTATGCCAAGTTAAAGTGTCGATTAAATGATAATGGAGCGGTTTATATATATAACTCGGAGAGTGGTGTGTGGTACTAGTAGTGGGTTTGGTATACCGACACTTGCATTACACTATACTATACTATTTATTTCTGTATTCTTTTTTTTTTTTGCTTTGTTTTTTGGTATCTATAGACTATATATAAAACAGTATTGTACTTTTATTGAAGCATCGAATATTTTTGTAACCTAGAAAATTATAATGATTGTGTGTTTCACGTAACATTGTTTCTTCAAGCATAGAATATATATACCGAAATCTTGCGTTATACTTCACATGCTTCTTCGAACCACATTTTTTGATATGCGTATATTTTTTTGTAGATATGCTAATATATATATACTGCATAGTGGTTACTTTTTAAGCAAGTTACATGGTTAAAGAAACTTTTAAAAAGTATGTGCTTCATAATAATAATAACTACAAAACTTGGGACTATCCGAGTCAATAATTCTCAAAAGGTGACAAACACAAATGTTGATGCATTGGCGTGTAAAACTAAAATTTCTTAATTGTTAGCTACGAAAAATTCAATTCGCAAATGAAGGTGTTGTGTAGTTGTCTTAGACATAATTACCCATTAAGCTGTCGTCAAATATAAATAAATTGATTGATTGGGATTAATGAGTATAATAACGACTTTTATAGGGATGGGGGAAAAGAAAAGGGCATATTCAAATGCTTTTATGGATTTTTGTATTCGGAGTAAGTGTTCTATGAATCTTGAATACAACTCAAGAAAATTTCCTTTATATGGCAAGTGTTCTACAAAACTTGACATTGTCTATTGTCTATAGCTATTATGGTAATGAAATGTGACAAAAAAAAAAAAAAAAAATTGGCGGAATAAGATGTTGGGTGGGCTACGTTACGTTAGGTGGTTCAAGTCAAGTGCAATGTAATGTAGCTCAATCATGATTGTGTATTCATTCTTTTGGTCATGTTATGCTTTATAAACCGTATATGAATCGTACATCAACCTTCAAGATGGGACACTGGTTCGATTGAATCGATATATATAGATACATACATGTACCGTGTTTGGTATGATATGTTTATTTCATATCTTTTTTTATTTTATACTGCTTGTTACATCTATCACAAGGTTTATATCATAAACATCTTGTTGGGATTTAAATAACTCGAATGTAAAATATGATCGTAAATGATTTATCATTCAAATGAATTTAGTTTGACCGACCGTTCGTTACTTTAAATAAAATATTTCTCATTTCATGTTAAGAATTCAAAGACGACAGTATAATTTTTTATATTTTTATGTTACCTCAAATAGAAAAATCGAATGTGATGAAAGAAAAAGAACTTGGGAAAGAAACTGAATAAATGTTACAATGATATTAAAAAAAAAAAGAAGAAGAAGAATATATATAGTAAAAATTTATGGTGAAATGAAGGTAGATTTGGTCAAAGATGACGCTAGTGTCCTTGAGAAAGTGACGTCAGTGGCTCAGAGGTAACCATCATCATCATCATCTCTTGCGATTACGCTGCAACACTCTGGCATGGCACAGTCCCATAATCCAATTAAAGCGTGATACGTATATATATTCATCCGATTTTACACGTTTCCATGTAATATTTACCTATTTGATTACATTATTAAGCAAGTAGGTCGATCATTTTTCTTTCTTCGTCTAAACAATGAAACATTTATATAAGTTTGTGTACAACCAAATGTAACAATGAGACAATGTAATTAAACTATGATAAATTTTTTTTTGAGAAATGAGAATATTACTGTATCTAAACTATGTATCGATTTTCGTCGCAAATAGTTGATCAGAGCAATTTATATATCGATAAACAAAATTTTTAATAAATTAACAAAACAACATAATTTTCAAAAAATTACTATAAGGATGTGAGTTAGATCCGTTGATTTTGTATTAATTTTATCATCGTGTAACATCATAGATTACAGCATAAAAACGTAAATAGAAAACTAAATTTCCTAAGTTCCAATACCAAAATATACTACTAACTAAAATAAGTGGATAAAAAAAAAAAATAAGTGGATATGTTATTGTTTGTTAATAATCTACATGATTTACACACATATTCACACAAAAATGGACATGAGAAAGAAAAAAAGATAATGTTAAAAAAAAAAAGAAGGAAAAAACAAAAATGGAAAAAGCAAGTTCCAAAGGAGTGAAACTGAGAGACTTAATCTCGTCCAAAAGAGGATCGGAATCTAAAGATTGAAAGCAGAAATCGATGGAAATTCATAAATCCCAAATGGTTTGTTTGGTTTCTCAGTCACTCACTCTTATTAGAATGTTTCTATCTTCCCCCCCCCCCCCCCTCAAATCTTGCTTGAACTCTACGGATACCTTTTTTTTTTTTTTGTGATATATACAGAATTTTCAAAAAATTCGTACAAAAATTAAAGATTTTGGAGACTCTAAGCAGTAATCATTAATGAATGCTTATTAAGTTCTCTATAGATAGAATAGATTAGATTAGATTGAGAGCACATGAGATAGTACACAGAGGTCGAGCCACCCCCCCCACGTGGAACATAATGACAACAAAATCTTTCCACTTTCATTTTAACTCGTCACTTTACAAATTACAAGAACAGAGTATATTTTTTTCCTGTAATCTTGTCCTCTCTGTAAACATAATAAAATGTTAATTTTAGTACTACTTGGATTCTGAAATGTCACACGTAAAAATACAATACAGTTATATATGCGATTTCTAAACATTTCTTTACTTCTTCTTCTCTGTTTTGTTTTCCTGCTTGGTGCTTGCCATTTGCCAATAGCCCGCCCAATAACAAAGAAGAGCAATGATTGGGCCTTACTAACCCATATGCCCATTTTGGTTTCCATCTCCGAATCCGACCCAACTCAATACTCTCTTTTCCTTATTCACACGAATTATAAAACAAAACAAAATACTAGAAGTTGTCTGATAAAATACCTTTTTTTTTTTTTTTGGTCTTCATAATCTAAAAATACTACTGCAAT